TCCATCCATCCATCCATCCATCCATCCATCCATCCATCCATCCATCCCAATAGTCTAATCCCAATAGTTTTCTCCATTCTGCATATACTGTATATGTAGTGTAATAATATGATCCGACAAAGGATTCAAAGACATAACAGTTTTGTTCTTTGCTCTTCCTGAAGCAATATGAAAACTGGAGGCCCAATCAGCCCGACAGCTTCTTTTCTTCTGGTGAAGACTGCGTGGTGATGATCTGGCATGAGGACGGCCAGTGGAATGACGTCCCTTGTAACTACCATCTGACCTTTACCTGCAAAAAGGGCACAGGTACAATAAGCAGCACAATTTGTCAATTTGCTTTGATGACATAAAAGGTTCCTTATTTTTTAGGTCTCGATACAAATCTTTGGCTATCGCAAAATTCCTCATTTGCATAAAAATATCTTGTCTTTTTGTCAGTGGCATGCAGTCAACCCCCAGTAGTAGAGAATGCACGCACCTTTGGGAAGAAGCGGGTGAGGTATGAAATCAACTCACTGGTGAGGTACCAGTGCCACACAGGCTTTATTCAGCGGCATGTCCCAACAATACGTTGCCGCGGCGATGGCCGATGGGACATCCCTAAAATTGCCTGCATAAACCGTAAGTTTATTTAATATTGTTCCCAAACAAATTGACCGAACTGAAACTGTCAGCCTTATTCAATAACTTGCATATCTGTTTTTTTTTTTCACCGCGGCAGCATCGAGGTATCAGAGGACTTTTACAAGAAGACATCAACATAATAGCCTCTACAGCATCAACAACTTCAAAAAATGGGAAGAGGAGGCCTTCCGCCTCCACAATCAGCGCTACCGGGGAAGGAGACATAGAATTGAACACAAGAGGAGGAGGCCGTGATTACCGAGAAACTGTGGCTCTGCTTCCCTGAGACCAGACTGCACACCTGATACTTGTGTGTGGAAATATGAAAAGGAAAAAGCACAAGAGAAACCAAAGAAAGAAGATAACCTGCAGTTCTTGCATTTTGGATGACGATGGAATATTATGAAGTGCCTTCTTGTTGTTACATGACTTTTCATATCAAGGGGGCACTGTTGTATAACAGTTCCAATCTGGATTTCTTAAACCTTTCAGGTGGCTGCTGGAAAAGCAAGAGTACTCTTATCTTATGTGTATGTGTTTTTTGTCAAGCTGTATTTTTCCTTTTTCCCTACAGTCATCATTGTACACCAACTGTGCCGTTTGAAATTACTGCAAGTCTTCATTAATGACAGTTTTTATGGTCAGCGTCTATTCTGCATCAGGGCATCCATTTGGTTGTGACTATGAGCAGTTTTTCAGTGTCAAGAGGTCCAACTCTGACTTCATAACTCAAACAGATGTCATTATACAAACAAGCCATGCCACAGTCACACGAGTATCACAAACAAAACTTTAAATAATTAATTCCACTTTAATCAACAGAACCACAAATAATGTTTCTAAACATGGGTTCACATTTTTAGACATTTAGAAGAGATTAAAATCCACAGGAAGTGATTTTGTTGTTTTTGTCAGCACCTGTCGCAGCCGAAAGTGCCAGCTGTCACTGTCTTCACTGGTTTTATGTGAGTTTACACATTTATGGAGCGATATCCATACGGAAATGTTACAGACTTGTTGTCTAGGTCGAGTGATTGAATACTTATTGACAAAGCCTTTTTTTGCCATTAAACAATTGATACACTTCCACTTCAAAAGGAAAGGAGGGAAGTGTTGCATGGGTTTTAGTGTATGAATTAAAGTAATTTGGTACGTAATGTTTACATGAACCGCCAATATTATTCACCGTCACAAACAGAGTCCTCCTCTTATTTGTTGCTTTTAATTTCTTTCTTTTTTTCCAGCTTTTCTTCACCGGACTTGTCTGTTATTGTGGTCACAAATCCGCCTTTGAGAGAATGTATTTTGTGAACAATCAGAAAGACTTGAACGTAACAACTGTTTCGGCAGAGATGCGTATAATTTATTTTCAAGCTGCTCTCACTGTCTTCATGTGTATTTTGCCTACAGGTTAATTGTGAAGCAGTCACTTAGCCCAGCAGTGGTCTTCATGTGTTTTAAATGTATGTTCCACTGGAGACAAGCCACATGTTTCGATAAGATGCTTTGCAGATGGAGAGTTGCTCAGAAAGAAATGATTGTCTTTTTACATCTTTAACATCATTAGTGGACCAGCAAATATAAAGGGCTACATCAGCAATAATTTGTAATAAGTGTGTTTTGTAACACTGTCATGTTATTTGTACATCAGGTTAGTTTTCAGCTTTTTTAAGGAGAAATGCTGTTTTGTTTGGTCTGTCTGTGAATGTGTGTCTTAGCCTCAATATGCACATAATGACATTTTATATTTATATAACTTTTTAAGAAACTTGTTTTTATTTTACAATGTGAATGTCTGGGACGTTTGTGATTTTTTTTTCCAAAGTCAAACTTTTTTTCCTTCTTACGTCACAAAAATGAATAAATATATGAACAAATTTAAACTTCTGTTGTTTATTATAGTTCTTGTACAGTATTATGCTAGATATTGTGTAGGTATCACCAGCAGGTAGTGCTGTCAGACTAAAAAGGTAAACCTGAGCTCTTTTTCTCCTTGTGTAGCACCCAAATGTGGGGAGAGCTAAACCTAATGTAAAAATTTGAAACGTAATGTGAATCACACTCTTCAGATCATCATACCCATACCTAAATATTCATAGTAATTCAGTGGCTTTCACCTCAAATTCCTCATAAAAAGCCATTAGACATACTTTACAAGCCCTTTGGTAAATACACAGTGCATCTAGAGAGTGCAGAGGAGATGTGGGGGTGTGAAATGTGGCAGACTCATGGAGTAAGGGTTTGTGAAAAATTATGCTTCTGCTGAAAAAGAACTGCATATTTACATCACACTTTGGTTATTCTTTAGTCAGAGTAAATTTTTTGAAGGTGGTTTTCCTGAACGTTAAACAAGTCTCAGGCATAATGTATTGCTGTATGAAGAAAACATAGGAAGTTTTATTTTTAATTTTGAAAGCTTTTTAGTATCTTACCTTTCATTACCAGTCTCATGGTGCCTCTTTACAGCAAAGACTTGAGGTTCAAAATCATATTGCTTCCACGGAGCACCGTTAACTGAGTATGAACATCAGGTTAGTTGATGTGATCATTGTGTTAGTTCAGGTTGCTGTGGTTTTTAAATGTGACTGCCCACCCTGTCATTAGACCAGACTTAACTTGTGATTAAAGACTTTTCTCGGGTGCCCCAGTGAGAGTACAACCTGCAATCTGGCCTTATGAAATGCAGATGTTTCAGGGCCCATCAGTGGAAAAACTTAGACCCTCTGCCCAACTCTCACAGGGATTTAACAGGGTGTTTGAGGTTTATTTTGGAAAGGGAAATGCACCTGGGCTCTTCTGCTTTTTTGGCCTTAGCACATATGTCTGAGTTTGCCAGATGCAAAGTATGATTATAATTTTTTCTCATAATTGACTGTGCTTAAATCTCTTCAAACATTACCAAGTTTAATGGGAAAAGTATGGACATTATAGCATTACTGTACTTTCTGAACATTTGTGCCACATTTGATTTGTTGAAATAATAGAGACAACCCCAAAGACAAAGGTCAGCATTACTCCCACAGCTGGTGATTGATTTAACCGTCTGTACAAACAAGGCAATGAACAAAACTCTCAAATGTGCAAATAGTATTAAACTGGGTCCATTTTGCGAGATGAAATAATCTGTTGTATCTTTTTATTTGTGTCAAAATAAATTATTCTTTATCTTCTAGTGCATTCAGTTGTTTTCTCTAACAACAACTTTTATGACTCTCATTTACATTCATTTAGCATTTCCCTACTGTTTTCACATAAATCTGACCCCATTCCCGTGGAATCCCACAATCCTCTTAAAGACTGTGTACTATTCCTTTTGTCTTACTAAATAGTTGGCTTGCAGAATGGCTGTGAATAGAAAAATTGCAAAGGATAAATAATTGTGAACAGAGTCTAATTCCAAATGCAGTATTTTGCCATTTACTCCAGACATATAACCCCTAGGTTTGTATCGAATAGAATAGAATTGAATCCCCACAGAGTTCCCCACTTGCAAATAATAAATTATGGTTTTATTTTCGAAAAGTGACACGTTGATGACTGATGTAAAAGTTGTATTCTTTATTTCAAACCGTGTTGTTCAAATGGTACATGACAATATGATACAAAAATACTTTAATCTTTTTCATGAGCGAGTGTGTAAAAAATATAGTTCAGAAGTAATTACTAAATGTAAGTAAGGGGGGGTTGGGAAGAGTTATAAGAAAAAAAAACAAATGAGACAAAATTCCAATCTACCTTTTGCCCAATCATTGCTAATACGTTGTCTAAGGCTTGTGGTGTAACTCTTTAAGTCAAAACATGTCCATTGTGGTCCACTGGAAGACACTTAGATCCAATTACCACTGGATAGCTATCAAGGATTTAGGAGACATCAAATATGTCATCAGTATTGAAAGGCCTTTAAAGGTTAAACTGCTTTCGACAAATGAGCCACTCATGATTTTATGATCATGAATAGTCAGTGAGAGTGGTTTCCCACTGCTGTATTAAATAGTTGGTAGTGGTCACTGTGTCTGTGACTCTTCAGGGATAGATTTCCAAGTGTATATTAGATAAAGAGGATCTGTATATATCTTACTGTAACCACTTAGCCAAATCTTGGACTATCCTGGTCTTATTAACCTATAAACTACACTTCACATAACTTTAGGTTTAAGGTCATATTTGTACGTGCTTTTAAAAGAAATGTTGTAAACATGTAAATATCTATTCATAAATCATAATTAAAAAGTGAAATCTAATTGTCTTTTTCACTACTACATAGGTCACAGACCTATCCATTAGTGTCCTTTGCAGTTGATTTGTCTAGGACTTTTCGGATTTATGTCTGTCCAATTGATTACTGGGGAAAAACATGTATATAGCGATAACTCAACAGTTTTAGCCAAGTTATGGTAATCACTTTGTATTCCGGTTGGTCTTTCATTGATGTGACTCTTGATCAATTAAAAATACTGATTCTCAAGACATATTTCAAAGCAGCGGATCTGCTCTCGATATTGAACTCCACACATGGAGTCCCTCCATAGAAGACAAACCAAGCTTGAACAATGATGACATAAAGATTTTGTCTAAGCTGAATCAGTCATTTATCAGAACTGCTGTCTTTTATCCAACAGTCTGACCAAAAAAGGCACATTCAGGAAAGAAAAAACAAAACAAGAATGTCTACAAATATTTTGTTGAGTTTTGCATATGGGTGTAAAATGTAAAATATTTTGTTTTAGTGTTATCACAGCTTCAGTAAAGTATGGAGTTCATGCTAGTTATTATTCAAAGCTTATTTGCTTCCTTGTTGATCTTAACGGCTGTGGTTGTTTCTGCTCTTTGGTGGTTATGGTCTCGCTAAGACATCCTATCCTTTCACTGGTTAGCCTTAAAGCAGTAGACACCATAAGACTTTAGCGATTTGTCTGGAAATCCAACAAGGCGCACTGCAGCCTCTGTGGGGCTGCAGTTCTTGCGGGGCCTGGAAATCGGGTAACGGACACTTCCATCAGCCAACCAGCCAGCATCACAGCGATCGTAGCCCTCAAGCTTCCATGCAGCATACATGTGGCCAACCTTGGCGATCTCTGCGTCGTCATCTAAGCAGGCCTGCACAGCCTCATCAAAGCTTAGAATTTCAGGCTGGACCAGCCAATAGAAGTGACCTATCAGAGCAAAACACATGGTAAAAAAGGAAAGGAACTGAACGGAAATTTCATTTTTTTTGGTCAGGTGCCTTTGAAAAATGTGTATTAGTTTGTTTGTCGTATGTTTATTGTATGTTTTGGTATCAGCCCAATCCTGGAATGTGTCAATACATAATCTACCATGCTGTAAATAGAAATTTAAGAATGGACAGAGTACAGCATTTGAAAACTTACCCTTGAGTTCAGAAGCATAGCAGAACACATCAAAGTAGTGAATCTTCTTGTCTCGACGTCCATAGCTTCTGACGCCAGGCCCGCTGTTGGTACCACCACAAGGCTCTCTGGGTTTTCTGATTGGATACTGCACCGTGCCATCACTTAGCCATCCAGCATTGCACCAATCCAAACCACCCTTCCAGGCCTCAAACAGCTGGTCAAAGGTGGCAACTACTGCATCCTGGTTTTCACAGGCCCGCACAGCATCATCAAAGTTCATGTTGTAGCGACCAACATGGGTAAAGTATGGGAATACGACACCTGAATGAGAGAGACAAATATATATATGTGATCTTCAATCTTCTCTAATCTTCGGTGGAAGTTGAGAGATAAGATAAGAGCGATTGTTGATTTTCTGTTCTGTTCACTTTAGATACCAAGACTCCAGATGTTTGGAAGTTCATCTGTTCAGTATGTTCCGCTTATCTGAAGCTGTGCAACAGATATAACAGGCCCATAAACCTAAACATCCCTCTCTTTAGTGACATTGTCCTGTTCCTCCAAAAAGCTTGAAAGATGAGAGAGGCATCCTAATCAAACTCCTGAACTGCCCCAGCTCACTCTGCTTAACATATAGGAGCACTAGTTTTACTGCAAGTTCCCTCTCCCACCTTATCTTTAAGACTACACCCAGCTAACCTCTGAAGGGGATTAATTTCTGCTCCTTATATTTGCTATCTTGTTCTTCTGTTCGCCACCATAATCCCCAAAGATGGAAGTAAGTTGGTACAGTAAATCAAAAGCGTTTGTTGTGGCTCAGTTACTTGGATAACAAACCAGTGCAGTGTGCACATTACTGTTGACAAAGCCCCAATGCTTCTTTGTACATCAACTATCTAAATTAAGATTAAGATGATTTGGCAAAATAATTTAAAAATGGTAAGGTCAGAAAAACCTCACATAAGGAGCTGGGAGAAACATTAGAATCTTGAAACCATCCACCTGCCAATTATGACCCCATACATACATGAAAGAGATATGACACATAAATATATTTGACAAGCATACTGTCTGTAATGTTTGCAAAAACAACTGTATATGAATAGAGAAAATGGCATCATTGAGAGTAAATAATGTAAAAGGGTCTTATTATCTGATATTGATCTTGAATGAAAAGGGGGTGCAGCAACCACTCCTCCTTCCCCCTCATGATGATTTGGTGGCTTGTTAAAGGAGAGACTTGAATATAACATCTGCTCCAGTTTAGAAACACATGTGAGTCATGTTTCGCTCCCGTCACTTATAAGTACACCTCTTTACAGGATGTCTTCATGGGTCAAATTTAAGGGCAGTAATGGACACAATGTGCTCAAACCAAATGAACAAAAAAAAATCACAGTTTTGTTTACTTTATTTTTGTCATTCCTCTAAGATATTGTTTTCATCTAGCTTTTAAGAGTAAAAGTTAACCACAACTAACCTCTGAAATTATGACATAAAAAACACTTTAATAAATCATGTTTTTAGTTCAGACAGTGAATCAAGATTTTGGGCGTAGAATAATAAGATGTTAGAGGAAAAGCTAGAGTTGCCAATTGTGAAATGCTAAAATGGTTAGAAAAGTAGTTACTATCAGACACAAAGTATCTAAAGCATTCTCATAGATAGTCTTGCATATTTCAGCTGGGAATAGTCCACATTTAAGTCCTGGAAAAGTGCACTGAATATAATGGCAAAACAATGCCTTGGAAGGCTTGATGTAGTGGCCAAAACTCAGATAAAAATCAATGATGACTGTTTGTGGGTTAAAATTCAAACCAATATATGTTGATGTTTCTATGCAAATCAGAGAACAAGAATTTGATTAACAATTCAGTTCATGAATATGTAGTTTATAGTGTAGGATTTCAGGCACCATAATATTAATGGGACCGCATATCAATGAATTAATGATCAATATCTTCCAGAGTCCTTTATTCCCATGGTTCTAACCAAGAGAAGTATGTGTTGTTTTCCTTGTATGTATGAAATATGCATACAAACTGGGGCCCTTACGGTAGCAAAATGCTATAATTACCATCAATGTATTCTGTTGTCAAATAGTAGGAGTGAACAACTAATTCTCAGCATTAGCTATCTCTCCCACAATTTTGGATTAAGAGATTTTTGTTATTCCCAGAGGTAAATCAGAATTCTCATGGTTCAGGATTGAATTCGTAGAACAGAAATAATACTAATCAAAACCACTGCTGTGCAAATGTGCTGATGTAATAACTGGAAAAAAGATGAAGGGTGTACCATCAGCGAGTCCACGTTCCACTTCTAAGATGACGTCCTCTGTGATATCTTCCTCCCCGCTGATGATCTCACAGCGGTACTTTCCCATGTCATCCATGGAGACATCAGTTATTATTATGGAAGCATCATCACTGTCCAAATTCTGCAAAAAGACACGGTCCTGGAAGCTTCCATAAGTTTTCTTATGGAGGGCCATTGAAGTCAGCACATCTTCTTCCTGGGATTCATCATCTCCCAGTTTGGACCACCTGATTCTCATACCCAGGTGGCCAAAAAGTGACATCTCTGAGGTCTGGTACCTGCAGGGCAAGGTGACATTCTCACCTAGTTCAGCCGTGACTGGAAAAGAGAAAACATGCTTTACTTTAGTGTATGATAGTGCCTGATTAATGTGAATTTGAAAAAGCTCAGCTTGTTGAACATTTCATCAATATTTGTGCAAATTTGTGTTTTTGCACAAATTTTATGAAATAAAACAGCAAAACATCAAATGTGAGAAATATTCAGGCAGGTTTCCTGTTTGATCTTTGCTATATTTATATGTTTATCTTTGACTGCATCTCTCTTGGGGTTCATTTTACATAACACTGACACATGGGTTATGGTAAAAAGATTTTTTCTCACAGAAAACCTTCAGTTTGGACTCAGTTGGCATAACCCAGTCCTTTACCCTGCAGCCAGTACTTTTCTTTAGTCTCCATCCTGCCGTTGTCAGCTCTGGAAATTACACGCCTTTGGCTTCTCAGCATTAACTTTCAAAATGAAACACTTGTCTTTCATCTACACCATCTGATGTGTGTTAAATATGTCAGCCATCAAATGAATAACAGAAATTATTCTCCCTGTACTGCCTCTCGCTCTCCTTACAGTTCAACTTAGGCCATGCTGTAATCTAAAATAGTTATGATTCTGTGTCTAACCATGAGTTCTCATCATTTCTTTCTGACATTCATGTTTAAACCTCACAAGACTTGCTTACTTAAGTAGATCCCAACTAGCAAGCGCTGGCCTGGGCCAGGCAATAATAAGCACCAGATGAATAGATGGATGGGCCTCTGACGTCCCCCTCCTACCCCAACCCAACACACCACAGCTTAGTAAAGCCAGCAAAATCTATCTGGTAAATGAAAGATGACAAAAGAGGCCATGCACTAGCATTTTATACTAGCCAAATCTCTTTCCAGTCCCTGACTGTGGATACCATGATTTCTGCTGACGTGTCTGAACAAAAGCACATCTGGCATATGGTGTCAATGGATCTTCAAAAGGACACAATGTTTCTCTTATGGCTAACACAGGAAATAAGAGGAGGCTTTTGGCTTGCTTCCCTCTACTCTGCTCCATGCATGATCTTTTCTCAAAAAATACACAGAGGAGTGACATGGAATTGACTTTGAATCAATGAATGTCTAAACTGTTCAGATATGGGGATTCATTTAAGGTCAATAGTTTTTTCTGTTTTAAAGTCACTTGTTCACTTTATTTGCCTCAAGGTTTGTATTACTTACCTCCCTCATGATTTTCTGTTGACCTGATTTGTGTCACCTGTTTGTTGTTAACCTTGCACCTCTTGAGTTTTCAGTCTGTGTGTTTTATCTCTTGCTGAGAGTCGTCTAGAACTCTATTGAGCCTGCAGGTTTTTCATGTTGAATCTAACAAGATCACTATGGTAACATATTGTGCACATGTGTAAGAGGCTTGGGTTTAAATTGGAACAACAACATATCACCACATCATAAATGTTTAGAAGTCGACCTCACGCCACTACTCTGAGAACCCCTAGATTTAGTTCTGGGACACGTGTTAAATTTTCCAGAAAACGACTGATGAAAAAAAATAAATGTGCCCTTTAATGGTACATCTAAATCTTTCTAGTAGGCTTCACATAACAGAGGTTGTCTGCATGCAACTTGGCTTTTAAGTAATGTCTTGTAAAACTTTAAGTTTTATTCATTCTTTTAGTTGGAATCAGTTTGTGTCTTGAACCCCTCTGCCACCACCACTGTTTTATTTTTATGTTTTTGATAAAATGCATCTCTGCCCAGACTTTGCTTCCATTTACTTCACTTAGCTGAACTGAAATCCTAAAATAAAGTCTCCCAGTATGTCAATGGACTGGATATGTATTTTCTTCCTTCGTAGCCAGTAAGATGTGCTTTTTATTCTCACAAAGTTGACAACTTTTGAGACTGCTTCCATTACAACATCACTACGCCCATTGGCCTTACTCACCTCCTGAGTGGTCAGCAACATGCCAGGCATTTTATGAGCTAAGAAACACCCTCCTGCTGCTGCTTATTACTAAAACCTTTCAAAGCAGTGTGATGTTTAAAAGCAATCTGGATCCTCTTTGCCTTTTTCGTCAGTAAGAAATGACTCACAACTTTTCCTGGCTCATAAATTCTTTGCATGGGTAGCAGTAGCATGTGAAGCAATTGAAAATTGAGTGACTCAGAATGACAACTCATGAAAGGTTTGGCAAAAGGTGAAGGTGACATCAGCATCGTCTCACCAGATGTGATGCCATCCAAATGTAATGCCCACACTTTTCCAAATGTACCAATTTCACTGAATACATTAAAGCAGATGGAATAAAAGGGTTTCATTGTTCTGTATTATGCAAACATTGTTTTATCCAAAGAAGACAACCACCCACTGGATATGATTTTCTAATTCTGAAATTTTGAAACAGCCTTAGTTAAACACAACAGAGCCAACACATGACTTGTAAGGTGTTTGAAAGTGTTCGTGTATGCAAACTAGAATGGCATTCCATCTCTGCAACATGCATGCTAAATTAACTTTTTAAGCGTAAGACTGCCCGGGATGGTTGTAGCAGACGGAGAGACAGGGATGTTAAAAGTAATTCCATACGATTTCCTGCTCCTGCATTCATCCCACAGGAGAAGTTGGCCCCGATCAAGCTGGGCTCCCTGTGCTCATAAAGCAACTGCCTGCTGTGTGTACCTACAACCTCTTGGCAGGAGAAGGAAGCAATTCTTTCCCCTGACACACCTCAAACCACATGTTACTCACTGAAGTCAGAGGTAAGACTAAATAACTAATTCAATTTAGAAATGTATGATCAAATAATGCAACATTGCTTACGTCTAAATCTTTCCAGTACAATATATATATATATATATATATATATATATCTGTACAGAGAGTGTGAGAGAAAAATATAATTCATTGTGCTTCTTAATTCTTGCACATGACTTGAAGTCACATTATGACCACATCTGGTGCAATTCCCTCTTCTGTGAAAGGATGGGAATCTGCAGAACACAGCGCACATGTTAATATCAGTTTGCTCATAGTGTACCACGCCCTCTGACAGAGCAGCAAGGCATGGGATGCTTTACAACATCCCCAAGCTTTGCTCTCCTCTGCTTCTGGCCCATTTGTGTCAATATGGAGAAGGAATTAACAAGCACAGCTGGGACAAACACAGCAGGCCAGCTCTGACACACTAATTCTAATAAACTCTTTCCTGTGTTTTGCTGTGCAGAACGAGCAGAAACATAAAGTGTGTGGTATGCTCAATCATTTGGGCATGTGTATGTAACCATCAGCACACACATACAGCCAGCTGTAATTACCGTCAATTGTTTAATTTCACCCACGATAAATGAATGCATCAAATGTAGCCCTCATATTCAAGTTTAAACTCATTTTTAACAAAGCCACCAATGTTCAGTTCATTTTCAGTAAAATCCCCTTTCCCACCCATTCTGGCCAACAATGCCATGCCTCAGTAACCAATAGCCACAGTATGCATTGGCCTTAACAGACTATTACCTCACAGGGAAAGACAGAGTCATTTGGCTCCTGTTCAGCATGGGGCTCTATACATTTAGCTGTGGGTCATTAATCTTCACTCTGCTCCTGTCAGACTGCTGTTACCATGGCGGTTTTCCAAAAGCTCCCAATGCTACAGTGAGTCAGTGGGTAAAACAACAGGAAACAACCCATGAACAGACAGTGTGCTCAATATACAAAAATGTATATACATACTCATTAAAAAAATGGTAAGGTAAGGCATGGCCAAGTTATACTTTTACATCAAGGAGATGTTCAGGTAATTCATTAATTTTAAGGCACACATACATGAATGGATAAACATGAGAAATCTCAATGTTTGGTTGAAAAAAAAGCTTAATCCCTTCATAGCGTGAAACTTTTTTCCCACAGCAGAGCCAGTGCCTTCGTCCAAAAATCCCTTGCTTGACGTGTACTGAGTCAGCTTTGCAAGACTGCTGAAAGTGCATTAGTACAATTCAATCCATATAAGATTAGGGCTTCCTTTTCTTCTTTCAACACAGCAGATAGACATGCATAACTCATAGCGCACAGCTGCATCATCCATTTCATGATTTTAGCTGGTGTAAATCTAATGTTTTAGCAGCCTACTACGAAATGCACATGCTCACTGATGAGTTGCTCTGCTTTTTATTTCTGTGTGAGAGAGGAAGTGATGGTAAAATAATGAACATGAAATAAAAGGTATGACAGAAGACTCGATGTGGTAAAGGTGAAAATTGCTATCCTTGCATTTTAGGAAGGACAAGCCCTACTAGCCCAGTTCCAGCCACCAAGACACTTGTGACACAGTTTAAACAACCAGCGGTACTACTATCACGTCTCATTCAGCAGCCACTCCACGTTGTGGTAGCTAGTATGCAAGTCAATGAGTCAATGGTGAGTCACAGTGTGTCTGAGAGTGTGTGTTACCCCAGAGACGGCTCTGTTCGCAACTCTACAATGACTCTGTTGTTGCACAGGTCCGTGCTGTGATACCACTAAACTCAGATCCTCTACGCTGCTCATCCTCCTGCTCGTCTCCTCCAGAATACTGTCACAGATGTGTTCACGGAAGAAAGATAACTACTGCACATCAATACATTTGAACAGTAATTCAATCTTACCTCTTTTTGGTGTGGATGAAGTCATCACTTCACAGTATGCACTGCTGGTCAGGGCCAGGGAGATTATTGTGATGCATAGCAGACCCATCATTTTCTTTCACTCCCCTTTTTTGTTTTCAAAACTCAAGTCCTTTCAGTAAAAATATCAATTTCTTATTTATATAATATACTTACAAAACAAATCTAAGCAAGCTTAATATTAAATAAAAAAAGTTTCTACTCTAATTCTTTTTCTTGTCCTCTTTCCTACTTGTTCAGCAGCTGCCTGTGGTGCTACTGGAAAATTTGGGCTCCTCAGAGGTCCAGACAAGTGCCTTTTATTGTAGACTAGCATGGTAGAGACCACTCCTCCTCCCCTCAGCCCATCACCATGTATAGCTTCTTACCGGCACCCATTTGGCACTTCTTTTATGTAAAACTCCCTCTTCTCCCTTGAGAGACAGAAGAGAACAGCAGAGCTTTAAGCAGCTAACCAGAAGATGATAACACACTGTCTAATACACATATCATTGTGTATTAGACATGGGGAACTATGGTAACTCCTGTCTATAAAGAAATGCAGTATCAATGAAAGTTTTGGAGTAATTACAGATTTTGTCTGAAACATATATTTTTCATTTCTTTTTCTATTTCAATCAAACTTCAATTAGATCATTGTCAATCGAAAAGTATAACTATTCCAATTTACTACAGTGTTTAAAAGGAATACTGTGAAAATATATAGTCTTTAAGCAGCTAGGATACCTTAAAATGTCATAAAATCACATAACAAAATATAGTAACAATATTTGGATGTTTACGCATGCAATTATTTTTAAATCTATAGCTAGGTTTAAGATCTGCCTGGACAAAAAATGGTCGGACTTGTAACAGAAGACTGAAACAAAGCATTGCAACATTATCATACCCCGTCATTTTTATATGCCTGTGATAAGCAGATGACTTCCACTTTAATCAGAAGATGACTGCAGCTTCTGCATAAAAAATGTATGACTGTGTATTCCCTTAAGATACAGTCTTTTTTGCTATGCGGTGAGACAGAGAGCCAACCATACCAGTTTTAAATGAGTGAAAATTAAATACACATCAGTTTCTGAAAATGTAATTGTAATAGTGATCAAATAAAAAAGGGGAAATTATAGATTTTTTTCTTTTCTTTTGTTCCTTCTTGTCTTTCTTAGTGTGCTAACATATACATACATTTGATATAAGCCCATTAAATGTAAAAGGGTCATAAAAATGATTCACACAGAAGGTCTGCCAACAAAGTGCACTTTTGTCTTAATCTCTATGTTTTTTATTTATTTATTGAGCTGTCTTCTCCCTCTATAATTTTTTCTTATGCACTTTGACGACCATATTCTTAGGATTGAAATGTGAACTAACACACACATACACACACGCACGCACACACAAACAGACATACACACACACACACATAGCCTGAAGAATTACGTGACCAGATTTCTCCCAGTCTCCTCTGACAGTGCAGAGCGTAGCAGAAAAAAGAGCAATTGCTCTGAGCAGACAGAGTAACTCTTGGGAGGTAAGACTTGAAATTGCAACAAGTTGTGAGCGTACAGGACATGTGTGGTCTCTCCCAAACATTTTTTCAGGCGTTCCAATGGTGTTTGAAAGATGGAAAGGCTGCAATTTAAGCAACATGCACCCTTGCTAGAGGTTCTACAGCTGGGGCAGCCTAAATTCCCCCACCTCCCCCCCCACTCTTTCTCTCCTGTACCCCTTTCGTCAGTCCATCAGTCTCTGTAGAGATGACAACCCAATCCTTGGTGGGTCTCTGATGTGTGATCCAGAAACATGTAAGTCCAAGCTATTGCATCCCAAGTAGAGTTAAAAAAAGGAGGGGCCCATATGATCATGCTGCCATTGGCCCACTGGGTGAAACTATGATCTTACGAGCTCCAGTGTTAGGGCACTGGGGTTGAACGTAAAACACAGCTGCAATCACCTACTGGGATTTTGAAAGTATATCAAAGCCAGTCTGTAGTAGTTTTGTTGTAATGGCGAGATAGCTGTGTAAGTGAGCACTTCCTTCCTTCCCAACAACTGACCATTTGTGAGAGCGTAATGGTTTGGCAAACATGTGTTGGGAAGAATTGCCTTTTGTGTGATAATATTCCCATTCAGTCCAGCCTGACAAAGCAGACAAACAAACAGTGTCCAATCGAGGTGCACAAGAAAAAGCACAAATCAGCAAAAAGTATTACTTGGCTCGATACGGGTTCAACTGATATCTAATCCACATTATGTGTGGTTTGTCAACATAAATGGACTTGGGGGAGCTTGGCAGTTGACAAATGCAGTGGAACACTATATTCTCTTGGAGAAGCTGCATGGCTTGATGTGGCTGTAGGATTTTAGTTCAGTAGAAAGCTGTGTTTAACTCTGATTAAAAGCGAGTGGTGACACATTGTATGATGCATTTGATTTGATTGCCAAATTATGAGAAACCAAAAGTAATAAGGCCACTAGCTCACTTTTTTTCATGAGTCAGTAAGTAAGCAGTTTTAAACCCGTAACTGGCGATTTCCTACGACATACTTAAAGTGTTGGCACTTTTCCCCCTGTTTGATTTAGTTAAAGTTAAAATAATAACATATACTATATGAGTTATCTACCTTTAATCATTCTTCTATCATCATATCAGCATGGACTCAATCTTTTTCAAAGAGAGAAAAATGGTAGTTACATGGATTTGATGATTGAGTGATGACAGACTACTTAAAGTCACTTTTTATTTTATATTGTGTCTTCAGATACATAGAGAAAGGCAGTCTTGAAACAATTTGAATTTGATAATCATTTCCATATGATTAATTAATGGAGAAAGAAGCACACTAAAACTAAACGCTATTGTTGCTCTCATACAGATGCTTCATATTATGTATACAGAAACTTTTGGGAGTTATGGGCAGATTTGAGGTCCTGCCCTGAAACTCCTCAGTGGGTCTGTTGTGTCAGAGCCAAGTTTCAAGGCCATGAGCACATCCACAGCTGGCTCTCTGCAGCCTGAGCTCTCAACCTTTAGCCAGGTGGTATAATTCTTGTTAACATATATCAGCTTTTTGGGCTCTGGCTGCTGATGTGCAGGGTCGTGTGTAGCATTTAAAAAGTGACTGTCAGGACCCTTGGGAGTGTTTTATATAAACTCCTTCCTAACATTGGACAGGAAAAGGTCAAAGCTGAAAAAGCAGAGGTTATCCCATGTTAAACATATTCGCATAAGCCACCACCAAACATATGTTCCTCATTACATGTAGCAGTAACACACGTGATTAGACTTGGAAACATTTGTAAAGATGACGTTGGTATACAGCACTGGTGGCTCCTGGAGATGAAACAACAGAGTGAACAAATGGGATTTTAAAAAGGTCTGGGTGGGATGAGAAGCAAATGTGCTGAGTATATACATACGTGTGCATTTCAGCATTGACGCAACACAGTTGGCGTGTCATACTCTCTTCCCCTTTCAAATTATGGGGGAACAAGATGATGTGTATATTAAGATTTTCTGTCAACACATCCTGATTAGAGATAGCTCCACATGTGATATCTGACACTGGACTTTTCTGTGAGTTTGTTGAGTCATCTGTGTGCACTGACTAACATGGAGGCTGCACCGATGAAGCTTTGCTTGGGAACTGGAAAATGTTATCCATTTGTTCATTTTTGGCACAGAAACACACATTTCCAGATTTCAAAGACAAATTTGGATCAAGAGATCCACATTTGACTTTAAACTAAAACATAAATCAATAAGTATTTGTTCAACTCAGGTACTGTTCGGTTTTACATATTACTGAAATGTACTTTTCAAGAGTGATACCTTTTTTGGTTATTTTTTCAAATAATTTAAATGTTTTTTGCTCAATTAAAGAGTTGCTTTTGACATAGTCTAAATTGATACGTTAGCTCAGAAGAGTGTTGAACTTAAGATAAATGTGATAGTTTGTGATAGTTAATCTTGATGTCATGAATTTAATAAAAAACTGCTTTGTGTGACATTTAAACATGTGTTTCACATATTTTGCTACTGTCACTATAATGTAGTTTAATAATTCAGTAATGATGCTCTCATAATGCGGATAATACTCTCTAGCTCTGAACACACAGATACATTGAATTTACACTGAATCATAATCAACACCTACATTTTGGAGGAATATGAAATGCAAATTAGCATGCCAGTACAGCAGTACGGGAGGCTTCTTCTGTAATAACCTGATGTTTCTCCAAGTAAAGAGTCTTACTAACACATGCATCTTGAGAATCCAGTGATGCTTCTGACACTTTGAATCAAATTTCTGAAAACACGGCCCATCTTGAAATGCTTTATGTCACCATAAAGAAACTGGACTAACACTTGCATTGTGCTGTCACATATAAAAGTTTGTTTCTGCATCACACCAAAATGTTCCCTGCCTCGATCTGATGATTGGCTTTGTTCTAACATTTGACTGCCAAGCTTTCACCAGGGGGGCACGTGGGCGTATGATTCCATGCTAGCCCAGCTGCAAGGGACTGTGGGAGAGTCTTAACAGAAACCCAACTTGAGAAATCCCACCACTTATGTCAACTTACAATATCAAATCCGGTTTTTGACAGTGGTCAGTGACTATTGGGTGTGTGGATATTTGCAGCTGTAGGGAGTGCAACCATAACCGATGTTTTTGACAAAACAGATCAAATGCTTTCATTGTGTCAGAATTTATAAAAACTGAAAGCACATCGGATGATTGTGGTTAAACCCTGGAGTGATGTAAAACTGAATCCCAAAGTGAGACTGTCTGGGAAATGTATGACAAACTATTCTTAAGGTTATATGATTTGGTTAAGTTTGAGGTTTATTGTAATGGAAATGATCATATTTCAGTTCTCGTCTGCACCAACATCTGCTCTAAAAATTTCTATCTGTTATGCAAGATTTTGGACCACTCTGCAGCATGCACTGGAAAGTGATGTAAAACACACAAAAGTACCTTATTAAGACAGAGCCAATATTCACTGTATCTGTGAATGATGCCTCCCTGAACAAACAGACCGTGGTCTGAATGCTTATTGAGGCATAATCAAAACCTGCATCCATAATCATTTGACCTGCGTTTGAGGTGAGCTTATGGACTTTGGTTTATCATTACATGGTGAATAAAGGAGATCAGAAATTCAAAATGCAATAGAATATAATTTAAATAGTTATCATGCATTGTGCACCATCCACAGCTCAATTGATCGTTTTGAACTGCTAAACATATGCAAATTGTTAAGCTTTCGGGAGATTACCATTGCATTTCCAGATGCTGGATAATATGATAAAAAGAACAATGTCTTTGTCTGTCAGGACTCCACTGACAATGTTGTATTGTTATAGTGGTCACTAAAGTTAATCCTGTTAAGAGTTAGTGGTCAAAATTCAGCTGCCTCAAAGAGCTGTTTATTCACAGCATGTGTCACTTATAAAATAAAAATCAACGTTAGCATTAACATAATTATTTTTGTTATTATTATTGTCATTATCACTTTTGCTGTATGACTTGTTGACTATTTAATCTAGGCCTAAAACTACCCTGTGTCTTGCAGAAGCTGTATAATTGTCCCTCACAACATCACAAACACTTTGGCCGTGACGAATAAAGTTGAGTGGAAAAGATACTTTCTTCGCCCCTTATTCCTAGTAGGGTTGTGGGGAAGCTGGAGCCTATCCCAGCTGTCATCTGGGGAGAGGCGGGGCACACCCTGAACAGGTCACCAGTCTATCACGGGGCAACATAGAGACAAACAACCACACACACTCAGACTTACACAGTCACAAACCATTTAGAATAATCGGTTAACCTAACATGGACGTCTTTGAACAGCAGGAGGAAACCAAAGAAAACACAAACTCCACACAAAAAGGTCCTTGGGGGAATCATGCCGGGAACCCTCTGGCTGTGAGGTGACGGTGAAAACCACCACACCAACGAGCAGCTGTTGTAATTACAAATTCAATGTAATACATAGATTTAAAAAAGATACAATGTTTATTGTCCAAACTGATCAATTCAATTGTTTTATGCAAATACTTACTCATTAGTGCCTGCAACATGTTTCCAAAGCAGTGACAGGGACAAAAAAAAAGCTAGAAAAGATGAGAAATACTCAAAAACACCTGTTTAGAACATTCCATGAGCGATCAGGTTAACAGTAAAAAAATGAACATCATGATCGGATACAGAAAGCACAGCCCTGAAAGTCTTTGCCATTCACCAGTTTGTGAAGCAATGCGTGAGCACAGGAAAAAATAAAGAAAGGCTTTTTGCCTTTCTCAGGAGGGGAAGGGAGAAGGTGGGCGGGGTGAGGAGATGCTCACCTCACCAGGAATGGAGGAAGTAGATAGAGTGGTATTTGATACGTTTCTCACAGGTGTTTTAGTGGAGGTGACAAAATGGCCACTTCACTTAAACCAGACCAAAGCCAAAAAAAAACTTCCGCTTGATTTTCATTTTGCAACATGTGGTCAAATGGGTTTTGGATGTGAAAAGCATTGCCATGGTCCTTTAAAACAATAACAGAACACCCCTTTACATATTTTGAATGGACAGCCATAAATTTCAAATTGAGGGAGCAGTGACAGTATAAACAAAAGAGAGCCATGGAAACCCTGATGTTGTCAAAGCCAAAAAAATTCTTCCTGGGTTTCTGCGATGCATTCACAGCACACAGTGGCACAGAAAGAAAATTTACAGTTCCCCTGAGAAAAGAGTGTGCTCAGTGGCGATCATTTATGGGAAACCGATTTGCATTGAGTTTTGTTCTGGTAAAAGTGTTGAAACTGTTAAGCTCAATAGTGTGACCAGTGATGTGTCACCGAAGCCTCCCATACTTACGTCCACCGCTGCAACTGTATCACCCAATATCAAGTTACACCCTTTCTCTGAACCACATTTCTCTTCTATTCTGTACAATCATCATCGCTTACTTTATTGCGTTTGAATAGATTTATATTAGGAGAAGAGATTTAAGAGACACAATGACTTCTAAAAAGCCTTGAGCAGCAGAAAAGCTGGAGGCCAGATTTCGGTGGGAAATCGCCTTCACAGAGAAGAAAACATGCGCATCAAATGACAATTGATATTATGTGTGGAAGTTTAGGGGATTACTTTGGGTGGATTCAAAGAAAATGACTCCACCCATAGCAATTTTAATGATTAACCCAGAAGCCAGTATGGAGGCACACGTGCTTTTCTTTTTTGATTGATTTAAGGAGCCATAAAAAGTCAAACAATCCACACAGACTTCGGGGTCCCTACTGGAGTTGCTTCCAAGGACACAGACAGGTTTCCTCTGTTACTTTGGCACTGTTAATAAAACAAAACAGCTTCAGTCCCGTCTCTTCCATGATATATCTATTTGGCTTATAGCTGAGAAACATTATCACACTTATTTGTGAAAGCGAATAAACCAGCGAAGCATGGATTTCAGGGAACCTATCTGCTTCCAGTTGGTTGGGGGAAAAAAAAGGCTTTTACTATCCATTTGCAGATTAGAAACAGATGATGCTCAAAACTTAAAGTGCAGTCAAAAAAACGTAGGCCTGAAATGTTTTTTATGTATTTATTTTTTTCATTTTCTCGTTCTTTGTTTTAAAGGATGGGCGGTTCGGGCAGCAACATTTTGAAAAAAACTATATATGACTTCAGGAAATCATGTGAAACTCATCAGGAGTTTAAAGCTGTTAATCAGTGTAATTCAAGGTTAAGAGAAATGTGCAAAAATCGGGGAGGCATGTGAGGCTTCAAGTGAAACACTGAAGATATGTCCAAAGCAGTTCAATATTTTGTTGAGACCCGGTGTGATGACTTCTGGGAGGCAAGAGGTGATTTAAACATCCCCTAGTGAAAGTCTAATGAAATAAACACTATACAGGATAACAAATAACCTGAAGATAAATCATATGATGCATTTCTTGGCCTGTGTTTAATAAGAACCACAAAGTTCATTACTGTTTGGAGTCGGCAAAACCCAGTGGAAAATTAAAGACAAAAGTCCACCATTAGTCTGGAGAGGCCACCTCTGCAGATGCTCAGAACTTATCAACACTTGCATAATGATGTCAAAATTAAGACTGAAATAAACAATATTCTCGGTTTGCTGTGGAAAGAGGAATCAGGAATGCTTTTAATGAGCTTAATTCTTGAGAATTGAAAGAGCTGAATCTAGCATAAACAGTGACACTGTGACATCAAGAAATATTCAACAACCGCTGCATGCAGCAAATGTACTTTTTAGAATCTTTTTCAAGTTGGTTGTTCATTAAATTAGGTTTTATCAAAGGTAATCTTGCAGGGTTAATGAAAAAAAAAAGCAAATGCCTGTGGTGACTTGAAAGATATGGGTATCAATAATAATAGCTGGTGTGCTTTTTGTTTTTAGCTTTTTGGGTTTTTTCGTCAGCAAAACTTTTGTCTACTTTATGTGCTCCCAGTTTTTTTGTGTGCTATCTGTTTATCCCTGAAGAATAATTGCTCTGCTGGGTCAGGATGGTTACTGATAAATTACACGTTTAGAGGAATAATGCTAAACATCACAATTTCTCACAGACCCAACTCCTTGCCCAACCCCCAAACCCCTACCACACACCAGCTCTTCTCACAGAGGATCCTTTGTGTACATGGTAAGCTGTGTGAAAAGAGGGAAGAAATGGGCGAAGAATGAATTTGTTCCATCCTCTTCTCTACCGTGCTGAACAGACCTCTGTTTGATAGAGAATAATCCTTGGATGGAGTGAATGTTGTAAACCCTATTAATCCCACAGCATTGCCTGAGTAATCATCGGCCCCTGTCTCTCTTCAAGCCAAATGTTGATTTACATTCCCACGCAGGACAACCTGCCTCACATGCTGTGCTGTCTTTATTTAAAATGAGTTACAAACCTTGTGCATTTGTTAAAAAAAAACAAAAAAAACACACACAGGGCACCAAAACAGAAGATATTAAAGATTGAGATCTGGAACAAATATTTTCAAGAAAAGAATAGTGCCCCATACTAATACATCCCAATAAGACTATAATCCAAGGTTCTGTTATTTCAAGTTTTATTATATTGTGTCACCGGTATATCCCTAAAAACCTGAAAGGCTGTGACCGATTTCAGGGTTAAGTATAATAGTTTGGGGTCAATGGTTCATAAAAAGCATGAAACACTTTGCACAAAGCAAAAGCTTTTAAAGTGTTCATAAACAGTTTTAAGGTGTTAATGTTACATGACAGAACATTTATTTATCATTAAGGAAGTCCAAAATGCATCCTTCCATATAAATGACTAAACAGGATTTAGAAACGGTTGTTTTCTCAACTCATAAACTTGATTTGTTCGCTAAGATATACGTGTAAACCTCCCATCCTTTACATGCAGAACATAAACAGCGTTTGAACTGGAAGGCTCTCTCAGGGCTGGGAACGGTTGTGAGCTATGGGGGTGGAGGCTTCAGCATAAGGACCACCCCACATTTCCAAGGCGCCACTATAGCCGAGACAGGAAGGCAACCCCCAACCCTTAAATGGACTCCGTGATTGTGTCACAGGACAGTGCCCAGCTGCTCCTGTTTTCCAGTGGGGTCTGTCTAGATTTGAATGCACCATATGGGTTTAATGGAGACCTTTAAATAGGGAGAGCAGGTAATTGAGACCTGTTTTTCTGTGATCAACAGCAGTGATAGATATGACTGCACAACACTTTTCTCAAGTTAATGTGCAGCAAAACTGAAAATTGTGTCCTGTTACAAACATTTTCTTTAAGTCCATGTGGTGCCAACTTAAGGATTATTTGTTCTTCCTGACAGGAAAGAAAAAATTGCCTAAAGTGAAACAAATTAGTGAACCAAAAACAGATCCAAGATCTGACGTGTAATCACATCTAAGACAGTTCAGCTCCCAGCCCACAGAAGTTCTTCTATTCAGTCATATTCCTTTTCACTTTCCTCACAGACCGTTTCCCATCCACCCCTGCCTACTTACATTTCCTTTCTTCTTTGCAATGAAGCACAACACTCTCCCTGTCAATAGAGGTGGAGACAGACATCGTAAACATTTGAGGTTTAGTCCAAACCTATGGGCCCTGGCAGCTGCTCTCCCAGGGAGATCTCTTTGGCTCATTTATGGCAGCTACACTGGGTTTTTTCAAGTAATTGAAAACAGTGGGAAACTTTAGATCCAGTATATTTGCACAAGAAAAGATGTGTAGAATCCTGCTTTGTATTCACAATTATTCAACAATATTTCTTAAAATCATTCTGATCTCATAATATAACTGTGACAACCGTTTATCAAGCCAGTTAAAATAGTAATAACTACAATGTAAAATGTGTGTGGTCTTTTGTTTCAGAGATGGAAAATATTCAAGAAAGAAAGACTCAGATATATTAAGTAGCATTCATTCTTAAACAACAGCAATGTATGTTCAGTAGGAATATAAAAACTTGAAGGTTTGGAGCATATTGTATATATAACAGCATGATGACTCGCTTGCACATGTTCCAGCGTTCTGTGTTAATCTATCAAATGCCACAAAGAAGAAGTAAACGTACTTGGGTGAGTGTGACTGGAATATGTGGGTTTCTGTGGACCACATCTGTGTGCACAGAGGTACAGTATGAGATGGATGCAGCCAGATATTTGTTTTTCTTTGTCAATATCCAGAAGATTTCCAGTGTATTTATTGTTGACTGTAAAGAAAACCTTCATTTGGCAGGAATCATGGTTCCATGTGTAAGTCTTGAGAATAGTCATTTTTGTTCACATGTAAAGCTGCAATCAACAAACATGAAAGGTGCACACATATATGTAATTTGGTTATGTGGCAATGGAAAGGTCGCTTTGTCTTACCAATGGTTGGGGGCAAATAGAATGAACTATGAGCAAGGCAAACAGAAACAAGGCCCAGATGTGAAAACCATCAGATATCTTTTTCTGAGCTTTGTCAGTATTTCATCCATTGCAGGTTAAGGATGTTTTTCAAGTTCAAATGGGACACACACTTCATCTTGCAAAATAAATAAAGCATAGACAATACTGCTATTGTTCCTGAAAATATATATATTTCAGCATAGCAGCATCACAACCAACATTATAACAATGTTTTTTTTAGAAATGTAGAGATTTGTCTAGCTTATAACCCCTTAATGTGACATATTTAATTCATATATATTTTTCTGTGACCTGCTTTACCTTCATAAAGTCAAAAACCTTTTTAAGAATAGTAATGTAGGATACTTCCTTTTTTGCATTC